GCTAGGGGGCGCTGTGCACAGGGAGCGGGGCAGGGGGTCGCTAGGGGGCGCTGTGCACAGGGAGCGGGGCAGGGGGTCACTAGGGGGCGCTGTACACAGGGAGTGGGGCAGGGGATCCCTAGGGGGCTCTATCCCCTCGCAGTCAGCACTGACCCCCATGGCCCCCATGATCCAGAGGCGAGAGCTGTATCTGGTGCATTGGGCGTTAACCCTTTGCACGCCGTCGCGCCGGAGCGTCTTTCCCCCTCCCTGGTCGAATGCCCCGGCTCGTGACTTGGTCCCCACCCCGAGGACCCTCGCGGGGGGTGGTGCCCGGCCGCCAGAGGGGGGCGGTGGTGTGGAGCTGGGACCCCCCCGAGGGACAGGTGGTGCCTGTCCACCCCATCCGTCCGTCCGTCCGTCCGAGTGAGACGGGGCCGTTCTTTCTCCCACCCCCCAGACAAGATCAGCTCCACCAACCCCCGGGTGATCGAGGACCCGCAGGCCCGGGCGCTCTGCAGCGACATGAAACGCTGCCTCTACTACGAGACCTGCGCCACCTACGGCCTCAACGTCGACCGGGTCTTCAGTGAAGGTAACCGCCGGCCGGGGGGCCTGATCTGCTCCTTCCCTGTCTGCCACGGGCTGGGCCTGACTCCTGTGGGGCCGGGCCAGGACCCCAGGCAGCTCTACGTGGCTGGGGCTGGCGTGGTTTGTTCCCCCATGGATCCCTGTGGCCGTGGTAGGGGTGGTTTGTTCCCCCTAGGGGTCCCCATGGCCGTGGCGGACTCTCCCCCAGGGAGTCCCAGTGGCTGTGGCTGGGACGGTCTGTCTCCCTGGGGGTCCCTGTGGCTGGGGCAGGCTCTCCCACGGGATGGGGGGTCCCTGTGGCCGTGGCTAGGGTGGGCTTTCCCCCTGAGGGGTCCCTCTAACCGTGGCTGGGGCGGGATCTCCCACGGGGGGGGGTCTGTGTTGCCGTGGCTGGGGGGGCTCTCCCTCCGGGGGGTCCGCGTGGCCGTGGCTGGGGGGGCTCTCCCTCCGGGGGGTCCGCGTGGCCGTGGCTGGGGGGGCTCTCCCTCGGGGGGGGTCCGCGTGGCTCCCTGTCTCTCACGGGACTTTCCTTCCCCTCCCAGTCGCCCAGAAGGTCGTGACTCTGAAGAAGCAGCAGCAGCTCCTGGCCTCCTGCAAGTCCCTGCCCAGCACCCCCAGCCACTCGGCCGCCTCCACCCCCGTGGGCGGGATCCACCCTGGGCAGGTACGGCCAGCCAGCGCCTCCCTTAGCCAGCAGGGGGCACCGCAGCCCCAGCCGTCTCCAGCCCTGCAGCCCCCTTCACGGAGCCGGCGGCGGGACAGTTCCAGCCCCAACGGCGCTGCGATGCCCAGGCCTGCCCGATCCGCCCGCTGAACCGGGGCGACTGGGACAAGCATGGCTCTGGGGGGTACAGGCAGAGCTGGCACTGCCCTGGCTGGGGGGGGGGTACACACAGAACTGGCACTGCCCTGGGGGGGGTACACGAAGAGCTGGCACTGCCCTGGCCCTGGGGGAGTGTGTGTGTCGGGGGGGGGGGGCGTTATAGGCAGAGAATAAAACCCAGGAGTCCTAACTCCCAGCCCCTGCTGCTTTAACCACTAGGCCCTACTCCCCTCCCAGAGCTGGGGACAGACCCCAGGAGTCCTGGCTCCGCCCCCGCCCCTCTAACCCCTAAGCCCCCACATGCTCACTGCACTCCCTGGCCCCCAGCCCGTCGGGGGCATTTCCATGGCCCAGGGGGAAAGGGGCCCATGGGCAGCGGGTGGCTCCAGGCAGGGGGACGCTGACGCCCGGTGCCCGGGGCTCTTTTCCAGGCCAGTAATGGAGGCCACGCGAGCGATTACTCCTCCTCCTTGCCGTCTACGCCCAACATCAGCCACCGCGAGCTGCGGAGCGAAGGCTCGGTCGGGATCGGCACCCCCAGCTCCCTGCACCGCGGGGCCAAGCGCCGCACCAGCCTCTTCACGGTGAGCCTCCCCATCTTCGGAGCTCCCGCCCGGGCACCGCTGATGGTGCCGTTCCCCGGAGCCCCGTGCCGCTGCCGGCCACACACCGCCGTGGGCTGCAGCCACGCCCCACAGCCGCCGGGGATTGGGAACGCATGAGAAGGTGGGGCACGGCATGTGGGTTTGGCTCCCAGACAGCTCAGTGGCGCCCCCTGGGGCTGGGACAGGTCAGTGGTGTATCCTGGGGCCGGCTCAGTGGCGCCCCCTGGGGCTGGGACAGGTCAGTGGTGTATCCTGGGGCCGGCTCAGTGGCGCCCCCTGGGGCTGGGACAGGTCAGTGGTGTATCCTGGGGCCGGCTCAGTGGCGCCCCCTGGGGCTGGGACAGGTCAGTGGTGTATCCTGGGGCCGGCTCAGTGGCGCCCCCTGGGGCTGGGACTGGTCAGTGGTGTATCCTGGGGCCGGCTCAGTGGCGCCCCCTGGGGCTGGGACTGGTCAGTGGTGTATCCTGGGGCCGGCTCAGTGGTGCCCCCTGGGGGCCGTGTTCCTTTTGCTGAGGGTTCCTTGTCGCGTTGCAGAACCGCCGGGGGAGCGATTCGGAGAAGAGGAGCTTGGACAGCAGAGGGGACAGCACGGGCAGCGGCCGCGCCATCCCAATCAAACAGGTGAGAGCCGCGGGCACAGCCGGGACCCGGCCACCTCGCCCCGTGGCAGCTGGCATCCCCCCCAGGGCCCGAGAGGTGCGCCCACGATTTTCCTTTGCCACACACAGCAAATGCACACCCGCCAACACACACACACAGAGCAAACACACACACAGCAAAATACACACACAGCACACACACACACATACACACACACACAGAGCACACACACACAGCAAAATACACACACAGCACACATACACACAGCACAACACACACACAACAAACATGCACACACACATACACACAGACCACAGCACACACACACACAGTAAACACACACACAGCAAACGCACACACACACACAGAGTACAGCACACACACACACACATACATACACACACATACACACAGAGCACACACACAGCAAATGCGCACACACACACATACATATACACACATACACACACACATAGAGCACACACACACAGTACAGCACACACACACACATACATACACACACACACATACACACACACAGAGCACATACACACAGCAAATGCGCACACACACACATACATATACACACATACACACACACATAGAGCACACACACACACAGTACAGCACACACACACACATACATACACACACACAGTACTGCGCACACACACACACACATACATACACACACACACACAGAGCAAACACACACACACCCAGCACACACATACACACCACCCGGCACATACATGCCCATCCAGGAACACCCATGGGGATGCACACAGCTCTGATGGCTTCAGCCCAGCCTCCCTGGTATTCGTGCATGTCCAGCTTGGGGTCTGACCCCGACTCGGGGAGCACCCAGCCAGCCCACCGCACACGCGGGCAAACACTGTCTCCACCTCCCTGGCCCTCCCGGAGCGGCTGACTGCCCAGTTGCCAGGGGGTAAGCGGCATTGGCTGTAATCCACCCACTGAGCTTGGGGACGGATTGGGGAGCGCAGGTCGCAGCTCCGCGGGGACCCGGCCGCAGCCAGCGCGCTGCGGTGACCAGGTCTGCGATCCTGCGCTGGGTGGAGGCACCCAATAACCACGGCGGGCGAGGGATATCCGGCGAGCACGGGTGAGCTATGAACACGGGGAACCTCCCCCGGGCAGCAGCACCTGCCACGCTGAGGCCCGGGGCTGTGCCGCACCCAGCCTGGGCCGAATGCAGGATGACCCACAGCCCTGGTCGTGGCTGGATACCTGCTGGGGGATCCCTGAGAGGAGGCGGTGGCCTAGTGCACAGAGCACTGGACCGGGACCCAGCTGACCTGGGTTTTATTCCGAGCTCAGCCACCGACCGGCTGGGTGACCTGGCACAGCCTCGCTCGTAAAAAGGAGGGGGGGGCCTCCTTGGCATGGATAACCCACTCTGCGGCCCCGGGCAAGCAGCCCCGGGAATGGCACAGGGTTCGTGCTGAGGCCGGCGGGAGGAGATGGCTTGGGGCTGGGCAATCCCCCTTGCTCACCATGGGATGAGGCCCAGTGTGACCCCCCAGCCCCAGAAGGCAACGGGGTCACTCCAGGGATGGTGCCGTCACCATAGCATATGGGAGGGGGAACTGCACTCGCTTGGTCCCTGGGACACTGAGCACACCCTCCCCCCGGGTTGTGGGCTGCACCCCGAGTCACCCCGCTAGCTTCCCTTGACGTGGGCAGTAGCCTGGAGGAACCCCGCGTCCCCCCCCGGCCTTGGCTAACCTGCCCCACTCCCCACAGAGCTTCTTGCTGAAACGTAGCGGCAATTCCCTCAACAAGGAGTGGAAGAAGAAATACGTGACCCTATCCTGCAATGGCCTCCTCTTCTACCACCCCAGCATCAACGTAAGTGCCGGGCCGGGCCCCCCGCGCCCAGACCCCTTGCCAGGTGTGGCTCGTTCAGCGGCTCTCCCGGTTTCCCCATCTCCCCCGGCCCGCTGAGCGCCAGCACTCGGGACCGGGCGCCCAGTCTGCACCGTCCCGCCAGGGGAGAGGGGACACCGGACGGGGGCCGGGCCAGGCGCCGTGGGGATGGGCACGCAGGGCGGAGAGCCGGGTGGAGTTCGCTCCGCGGGGGCTTTGTGGTGACTCCCCGTCTCCCCCCTCCCCCTAGGATTACATTCACAGCACCCACGGGAAGGTGATGGACCTCCTGCGCACCACCGTCAAGGTGCCCGGCAAGCGCCCCCCCAGGGCCATCTCTGCCTGCAGCCCCTCCTCCAGCATCAACGGCCTGGTGCGGGACGTGAGCGGGGGGCAGGCGCCCGAGGGTGGCGGTAAGTCACCGCAGGGCCCAGCTCGGTGCGAGGACCCGGCCTGGGCCGCCTCCCAGCCGGGGCGTCAGCACCTGGACCGTGGGTGGTGGGCAGCCTGGGGGTCTCCCTGCTGCTGCGCCAGCCTGGCACCCCCAGGGAAGTGGGGGAGGAGGGGTGCCTGATGCTCGTGTGCATAGGTGAGGCTGGCACACTGGTGGGGGGGAAGCTGGGAGGGCATGAGGGGGCCTGGCTCTCGCTGGGGAGGGAGGCTGGGCTGGGTGCCCCAGGAGGGTCTGGCATTCTAGGGTGACTCCAGGCCCCCGCAGCCTTATCCCTATGCCCAGCTGTGTAACACAGCTCAACGGTGACACCTAGTGGCCCAGTGGATTGCTCCTTAGCCGTGCTCACCGGTGCTGGCTGGCACGCTGGGTCCATATGTCGTCGTACGGGCCCAGCACGCCGTCTCGGCTGGATCCAAGGTCCTCCACCTTGGGGAGACCCCTCAGCTCCCCTTCTCCCCCCACAGCTAGCCTCTCCCCCGCGGTGCTGACCATCCCGACAGAACAAGCGGCCAAGGCCTCGGGGAAGGCGGACCGGCCCCTCCAGCGTTGCGCTTCGGCAGCCAGCGCCAAGACCTCCGGCGGTGGTAGGTTCAGTGCTGCCCCCTGCAGCTCCCGGCGCCCCTCGCCAAAGGCCGGCGAGCAGAGCGGGGGCAGAGAAGGCCACTGGGGGGGTACGTGGCGGCCATGGGACATGCTGGGCTCCCAGCAGGACCTCTGGTGATAGAGGCACTGACGCTTCAGGCCTGATGCTGCCCAAGGACCCCAGAGATTGAACCTGGAACCCCGATCACGCCCAGGGGCCCGAGAAATCCCTCTCCAGAGCCTGACAGGGTGGCTGGCTCCCAATCCCTGAGAATGCCAGTGGGCTTCTCCGGGCACCGGGGAGGTCGGAAGATGTGGGGGCCGGGGGGTGACTTCTCCTGCCCGTGTCTCTCTGCAGAGGGGTCCCCGGCCGGAGAAGGGGTGTCCAGCCCCAGTCCCAGCCCCGGAGGCAAAGACCCGCCTCCTTCGCCCATGATTGACAGGAAGAAGCATCGCCGGAAGAAGCTGATGACCCCCTCGAAAACCGAGGGGTCGACGGGGCAGGCGGAAGGTGAGGGAGGCTGTCGCCGTGGTAATGCAGGGCATGCCCCTTGGCAGCCTTGTGAGCAGCACCCCTGGCCCGGGGGCCCCAGAGCACCCTGGGAACGGCCTTGAAAGTGCCCAGAGCCGAGCAGGGAGGGGCAAGGGGGGAGGGTCCGGGGGCCCTCGAGGGAGAGGACAAAGAGAGTCAGCCCGTGGGATTCCTGGACACCTTCGGTGGGCTCCCAGGGCACGAGTGGGGCTGTGTCTACACTGCAAAGCAACAGGGCTTGAACCCCGGCATGACTCCGGTTCGGATCCTCCACCCCTGGGGGGTCCGGAGCCTGGATCCAAGCCCTGGGCTAGTGCGATTTGTGTGTAGACAGGAGTGGGTTTGGCTTGAGCCCGCGTTCGAACCCTGCAGTGTAGACGTACCCACGGAGACCCGCCCTGGCGGGGAAGGACTGCCACGGAGCCGGAGGGGGCAGGGCGACTCTGACCCCGAGCAGCGTGGCATGGGGTACGCCCAGCCCAGAGCAGCACGCCCAGGTGATACCGGCCCATGCTGACAGCCAGACTCTGCGCCGTTTCATTCCCGCTCTGTGAATGGCTTCCGAGCACGCGCCCCCCACAGCTCTCCCCACGCCCCCCACCTCTCCTGGGGGGGGCTCACACCGCTCACAGCTTCCTCCCTCCCCCACCAGCGCTTTGCCTCCCCTCCCCCAGGGTGGGATCCCCATCTTCTGGCTTTTTCTCTTGACTGTCTCCCTTTATTCTCTCCTGCCTCCCGCCGCCCCCCCGGACCCTCCGCAGCCAAGCGCAAAATGTGGAAATTAAAAACCTTTGGTAGTTTAAGAAATATTTATAAAACAGGTAACGCGCAGCGGCCGTCACGCGGTGCTGGTGTCACTCATGCATGTCGATGTGCTTCCATCGTGGGGTGCCGCCGGCCGCCTGGCTCCGGTGCCCCCCCCCCCGGGGCGGGGAGGAGCCCGGACATACCTAGGGCAAGGGGCAGGGCAGACAGCTGGGTGTCGAGCTCCATGCCAATGCTAAAAGTGCTGGCTGGCACGGGATGAAGGCAGGGGCACTGCTCTGACGACTTGCCATTGGCCCCTGCCCCGCCAGCTAGCTTCAAGCCCGCATGCTGTCTGTACGCTCATCCCAGCCGGGTTCCCCCGCGTCACAGCCACCCTCTGGCCAGCAGGGGGCGGTAAGTGGCACTTTGCTGGCACTCCCGCCCCCGGGACCGAGCTGCCAACTCCCTCCTGACACTACCCAGCTGGTCCCAGCTCCTTTAAAGGGGTATTTTGGGTCCTCCCTACAAATAAACCTGGAAGCAGGGGGGTGCTCGGCCAGGCAGGGAGCCCCTCACGCCCAGCCTTGGCTCCCGCTGTCCGGCAGACACAGCTCCCCCAGCCTGACCGTGGGTTGCTCCGGTGGGGTGCCCAGGTGGTGACGCTCACCCACCCCCGGGCTGGGGGCTCCCTTTCCCTTCTGCAGAGGAGGAGAACTTCGAGTTCATCATTGTGTCGAGCACGGGCCAGACATGGCACTTCGAGGCCGGCAGCTTCGAGGAGAGGGACGCCTGGGTCCAGGCGATCGAAAGCCAGATCCTGGCCAGCCTGCAGTGCTGCGAGAGCAGCAAAAACAAGGTATGTCGGCCCCAGCTGCTCCCCAGAGCCAGCCGCCTCCTGGGGCATTTCCCAGAGTCTTCTCTCTGCCATCCAGCCACTGAGCCGCCTGGACAGTCTGGGAACTCCCTGCCCTGCCACCTGGGCGGGGCCCTGCCTGCTGTCGGTCAGTCCCTTCAGAGAGGGAAATGCATCCACTTCTGGGGGACAGCGGGCAAAGTGTACAGCTCCCGGCATAACCATGTATTGGGGGTGGAACTGGGCCAAACCCCTTTCTCTGGGGTCTTTAATGTCTGTGTAGGGAACCCTCCCACAGGGAGCGATTCACCCCTGAGCAGAGGGGGAGCCCCAGGTGGGTGCCGCTGACGTCCCACAAGGGCCTGCCAGGACTAGAACTGGGAGTGTTTAAGCTCAGATGTGGCTCCGCTGGGGTACACCTCGAGGGGCTGGTCCGTGTCCTGGCTCCGGGATCTCCCAGCTCCCCGGCTGCTTGGCCAACTGCCCCCCCGCTTTGCTCCCCGCAGGCCCGGATGGACAGCCAGAGTGAAGCGGTAGCCATCCAGGCCATCCGGAACGCCAGAGGCAATTCCCTGTGTGTGGACTGCGGGGCACCGAGTAAGTCTCACTCCTGAGGGGGCAGGCGACAGTGGGGCTGGCGCCGGGGGGGCTCTCCCTGGCCGGCTGGCTCCCAAACCGCGACGCTGATGGGGAACTCTCCTCCCTCCCTCCCTCCCCCTAGACCCCACCTGGGCCAGCCTGAACCTCGGGGCGCTGATCTGCATCGAGTGCTCGGGCATTCACCGAAACCTGGGCACCCACCTGTCGCGGGTGCGCTCGCTGGACCTCGACGACTGGCCCCTGGAGCTCACCCTGGTGCTGACGTCCATCGGCAACGAGACGGCCAACAGCATCTGGGAGAAGAACACCCAGGGACGCCGGAAACCCACCTCCGAGTCGTCCCGGTGAGCGCCCTCCCCCCCGCCCCACGTGCCAGCCCCGTGCCCACTCCCGGGGGCTGGGCAGGAGCTGCTGGGGAAAGAGGCAGAGAAGGGAGAGTGCAGCCCCCCCTGTGGTGTTTGCCACTCGGCCGGTGTTTCCTGGGGGCGACAGCTAATGGCTCAGGAATGGGGGAGGAGGGGTGATGCTGAAAGGCCCCTGGAAATAACAGTCCTCTCTCGCCTAGTAGGACCCTGTAGGCACCAGGCTATGGGCATTACCAGCCTGCTGGGGGGTGAAGGGGTGGAGGTTGCAGGCATCATGCCAGGCCCCTGGAGGGGTACCCAGTTCTGGGCACTGCAGGTCCCTGGGGATACCTGGTTCCAGACTTTGCCCAGGTCCCTGCGGGATACCCGGCTCCAGACACTGCAGGCCCCTGGGGGTACCTGGCTCTGGACTTTGCCCGGGAGGGAGGGGTACCAGCTCTGGGCACTGCAGGTTCCTGGGGGTGCCTGGCTCCAGAGACTACAGATCCCTGCGGGGTACCCAGCTCCGGGCACTGCAGGTCCCTGGCGGTACCTGGTTCCAGATTTTGCCCAGGTCCCTGGGCGGTACCCGGCTCCAGGCACTGCAGGTCCCTGGGCGGTACCCGGCTCCAGGCACTGCAGGCCCCTGGGCAGTACCCGGCTCCAGACACTGCAGGCCCCTGGGGGTACCTGGCTCTGGACTTTGCCCGGGAGGGAGGGGTACCAGCTCTGGGCACTGCAGGTTCCTGGGGGTGCCTGGCTCCAGAGACTACAGATCCCTGCGGGGTACCCAGCTCCGGGCATTGCAGGTCCCTGGCGGTACCTGGTTCCAGATTTTGCCCAGGTCCCTGGAGGGTACCCGGCTCCGGACACTGCAGTTTCCTGGAGGTGCCCGGCTCCAGGCACTGCAGGTCCCTGGGCGGTACCCAGCTCCAGACACTGCAGGCCCCTGGGGGTACCTGGCTGCAGGCACTGCAGGTCCCTGGGGGTCCCCGGCTCCAGGCACTGCAGGCCCCTGGGGGTACCCAGCTCTGGGCTCTGCGTCTCTGCCCAGTCTGTCTGCATCGCTGGGCCCACATCACCGCCCGTGTGTGTCTCTCGCCGCAGGGAGGAGCGGGAGTCGTGGATCCGGGCCAAGTACGAGCAGCGGCTGTTCCTGGCCCTGTTCCCCAGCCCCGAGATCCCGCTGGGGCAGCAGCTGTTCCGGGCCGTGCAGGAGAAGGACCTGGGCACCGTGCTGCTGCTGCTGGCGCACAGCTCCAAGGAGCTGATCAACACCTGCTCCGGGGACAAGGACCGGCGCACGGCCCTGCACTTGGCCTGCGACCTGCCCCATGTGGTCATCACCCAGCTGCTGGTCTGGGTACGTCCGGCTGCCTGGGTCATGGGGGGCTGGGGGATCCGCTGCCCTCGCTCATAGCAAGCAGGGGCCAGCACACTGGGATCCCCCTGAGCTTGGCAGGGGCCCATGTGCCCCCTGGCACTGTGGGCTGCGGGGCCGGGGTGCCAGCTGCAAGGCGTTCCAGCCACGAGCATTGTGGCATTGTGACATCACTGCCTGTTGCTCCGGAAAGGTCTGTGATGTCACTGGTTGTGTGGGTCCCCAGAGACCTAAACGGGGTGGCCAATCCGAGCCAGCGGCACATCCGTTGTTAGCCTGGGAGGGGCGATCCCATAGCGACGCCTGGCTCCGGGATCCCCCTGGGGGGTTGGTGCCCACTTCCGGGGCAGGCTAGCTCTGGTCCGGCGCCGCGCCCCTCATCCCCGCCTCTCTGTCCGCAGTACGGCATTGACGTGAAGGCCCGAGACGCGCTGGGCCACACGGCCCTTTTCTACGCCAGGCGAGCCGGGAGCCAGGAGTGCACCGAGATCCTCCTGCAGCACGGCTGCCCCAGCGAGGGCCACGGCACCGTCGCCACGCCCGGCCTGCGCCGGAAAAGCAGCACCGCCAGCATGGGACGGTGTGACACTCGGACCGCCCTGGTATAGCCAGCCAGCCCCACTGGACTGCCCCGTGCGGGGCCTCGGGGCTCAGCCCAGAGCGGGGGGGAGACTGCCAACGCCTCGGCCCTCTGCAGAGCCCTCCCCAGCGGGCTGCGGCCTGCCTCGGGCCACCTGGACCGGGTGCGCCGGAGCCCGAGCCTGACGCAGGGCTGGAGGGGAAGGACGCGGGGGTGGCCAGGGGACAACTCCAGTGGCAGGCCCGTCCTGCGCGGGCCGTACCTGCCGGACGCTGAAGGGACGTTCGGCCCAACGGGCCCAGCTTTTCCGGGCACGGCTGGCGAGGCGGGTGCCCAGGTGAGGCCACCCCTGGGTGCTGGCTGGGCAGGACGCCGGGCGTCCCCATCCTCCGGCCACTGTCGGACAATTTGTATTTTTGATGCTCTATTTATTACTCAGCCCCTGCTGGTGGGGCCCGTCCTGTCCCTGTCTCCTCGGGGTCCCTGCTGCCCCTCCCTACTGCGCCAGCACATCTTCCCGAGGCCTCCTGCGTGGCTGGGCAGGGGATGGGAACACGCAGGACAAAGAGAGGCAGCTTTGTCAGAGCACAGGGCCGAGAGCCAGGACTCCTGGGTTCTGTCCCTGGCTCTGGGAGGGGAGTGGGGTCTAGTGGTCAGAGCACAGGGCCGGGAGCCAGGACTCCTGGGTTCTGTCCCTGGCTCTTGGAGGGAAGTGGGGGGTCTAGTGGTCAGAGCACAGGGCCGAGAGCCAGGACTCCTGGGTTCTGTTCCCAGGTCTGTCACTGACTTGCCCTGTGACCCCCGCGGGCCGCACCCTCCCGTCCTTCCAATGGGGTTTAAGGACACGGCCGGGGTGGGGAGGGATCCTTCGTTCCTGTCCGTAATGAGCTTTGACGGTGAAACGTGCTCAGTGTTGTGCCAAGGTGTTTGGGTTCCCAGCCTGCCCCTGGATAGACAAGGCCCTGCAGCAAGGGGAGAGGGCTGACGTTAGCAGGGGTGGGGGTGATGGGCCCCCCCCACCCCCAATCCAGCTGCCAAAGCCCTGAACCTCCAGTCCCTGTGCGCCCCCTCCCATTCCATGAAGGGGGGGAGGGGAAGCAGTTCATCCCGTTCCCCTGCTCTCTGTCTCCACCATGGCGGGGGCGGGGGGAGGGGAACACAGCTGTGCCCCCACCCCATGCGGCTGGGGGCTCCCAACTAGGTGCACTGGCCCTGCGCAGACAGCAGAGGGCGACAGTCTCCTTGCTACCATTTTGTGAGGCGCGTGGGAGTGGGGCCCTCAGCCAGCCCCTTGCGGCGTGTGGGGCTGGACGCCGGGGTTCCACTGGAGTTTCTGGGAGGGGAGTGGGGGCTGATGGGTTAAAGGGGTGGGGGGCTGGGAGTCAGGACCTCTGGGTTGTATCATGGCTGTGGGAGGGGAGTGAGGTCCAATGAGTAGAGCGGGGGAGAGAGGGCTGGGAGCCAGGACGCCTGGGTTCTATCCCCAGCCCTGGGAGGGGCGTGGGAGCTGGTGGGGGCTGGGAGTCAGGACGCCTGGGTTCTCCCTGCTGTAGCAAAGGTGGTCCCTGGATGGCTCAGGCAGCGATGCAGAACAGGTGTTCCCTCGTTATTTACTAGCAGGGTCACCTCCCCCCTCCCCACCCCAGACAGAGGCGCCAACCCACCCACCCCTTTGCCAGCCTGCGCCCTGTTTCATGCTCCAAACCCAGCCAGAGGCGCTGGGCTGCCCCACGCCCGCCCCTCCAAGCCAGCACCTCTCTGAAAAGCAGTATCCCTTCGCAGGCCCGGGCGAGGGAGGGGGGGCTGCCTGGCACGGGGCATTGACACACCCCCCCTTGGGTCATCCATCCAGGAGCTGGCACAGCGCCTCCTTAGCGCCAGGCCCAGCTTTCCACCCATTCCTGTTGTACAAAGTCCCCGTCCCCTTGCCCCACCGACCGGCCTTTCCCAGCCTCCTCTCGGGACCCCGTTTTAATTTATTTGCTTCTCCGAGCATTTGGCTCATGCCAGAAATCTCCCTCCCTCCTGCTCGCTGTCTCTTCGACGAGGCTGGGTTGGCAGCTCCCCCGTCACACTGTTTACAGGGCACGCGTGGCCCTTCGGTGTTGTGTGGCCCCGGCCGAGGCCTCCGAAAGTGGCTGTTGTGAGTGACGTGGTGTCAGGCTTTATTTCGATACGTGATCAGGGTACTACAGACCCCCGCAGACACACACATACCAGTCGGCCATCCCTGCCGCTGCCTGGGGCACTGGCTGGCACGTTACCCCCCATGCGGAGTTGAAAGCCGCTCCCGCTGTTTCTTGCTTTAATTCCAGGCCTGGGCGGGGGTTGATCTTCGGGGGCCGGGGGGGTCCAGGCCGGTGGCTGGGCCCAACTGTGAGTTTAGAGGGCCGAGAGCTCCATTGCTCTCCGCTGGGCCCGCAATCGGCCCCCAGCTCCCCCCGTTCTTCCAAACCAGCAGAGCGGCTCAGTTCATGAATGTACGGCTACCGTGTTGCACAAAGGAAGTCTTGCCCTCCCTCTCTGCGGTGGCCCCGGGGGGCCAGAGCCAGGCCTAGGGGGCAGGGACGCTGCCCCGTCCCTCCAACTACCAGCGCTGCCGTAGGCTCCAGGGGTCGGGGCAACCAGTCTGAACCGGAGGGGGAGGTCACTGAGCGGCCTGCGTGGCATCGCAATGGCTTTACCCCTTGGGAGGCGGGTAGCGGACGTTGGCAGCGAAGTGGGGGGTCTGGGAGGCTGGGGGAGGAAGCAGCCTGGGTCCCCTGGGCGTGGCTGGATCGGGGCGGAGGGGCGTGTGTGTGTGTGGGGGGTGGGGGGCATGGCCAGCCGGCACTCACACCAGTGGCCGTGTACAGCGTTTTAATCTCTTGGATTGTAACTGTAAGTACGTAACAATGTCAGATTTAGAGCTGTAGCGTGTGCCTGGTTATTTCTGCAGAGCAAGCAGGGGCTGGGGGGGCATCAGGCAGGGGAGATGGGGGGGAACAGGACCCCTGTAGCTCTCTCTGCAGCAGCGTTTTGGTTGCCCACAGGGAAGTGTCCCAGCGAAGCTGTGGGAGGCGCGGACTCAGCTTCGTGCCGTGGCTGCCGAGGGCTCCGTGGCCGAGCAGCAGGAACCACCCGCAGCCCCGCGTGGCCCGAGCAGAGAAAATCGGAAGGGTGGCAGCGGGGTTCTGAAGCTGCCGGGGGGTGGGGGAGGCAGGGCTTGGGTCGCTGCCTTGCCCCCTGCTGGAACCAGGCACCGTGTCCTGAGCCTCCCCCGGCCGCTTATGACCTTGGCGGGAGCAGCTGGGAATTTGCCGCCGGGGCCCCAGAGCGGCCAGCGAGTGGATTCTCGCAGGCACCGAGGTTAGCGCACGCTGGCGCTGCCCCAGCATCCCCGTGAGCAGTGGGCAGAGGGGCCTGCCAGCTCAGGCAGCAAAGGGCAGACTGGCAGGGACAGGGTGGGGGCTGACGGGAAACGGAGCCTTCCCATTAGCAGCACCTGCTCCCTTGGGGACTGGGTCAGCAGAGAGCCCGTGGCCCGAATGGGCCCCACAGCCTGGCAGCCCCTAAGGAAGGCCACCGGGATACACGCTGCCTGTCCTGGGGATGTGTCCGCCAGCTGGCTCGATCCCCCATCGCTGAGAGGCCCTGGGCGCCTCGTGCCCACACCCGCCCCCTGTGATCAGTGCAGTGGGCTTCCCCCACCAAGGACAAACCCTCGTTTCACCCGGAGGTAGCTAAAGAGAAGGGAGGTTTGTAATGATGATTGGACACCTTATATGTAGACAGGATCTGCCCCCCCTTAGCTGGGGGCTCCCCAAACTCCCTCAGGGGTTGTGCCCAAGAACACCCTCCCCCCAAACCCACTGAGGTGCCCTGCCTGAGAGCCCCCCCCAACCCATATCTCTGCTCTGAGCTCACGCTCCAGCGCCAAATACCCCCTCCCTCCCCTCTGTTGCATGTATACACCCCCTGGCACCGTGGGTCCAGGCACTGAGCATCTCGCACTGGTTCTAAAGCGCCGCTGGTGTAACCCGGTCCTTGGGGTTCAGCCCCCTTCGCTGGTGTCCTTCCGCAGAGCCCCCGCCAGTCACCCCTCCCTGGGCGCTGTGCGGTTCCAGGCCATTAGAGCTGGCTGGTAGCGGGGCTGGTATCCATGCGGGCGCAGGTGTCGGCTCAAGTATTCCAACAGGTACATCTCTTCCGAGCTGACGTAGTGGAAGGAGATGGATAAATCCGAGCAGCTCTGGGCACCCTGTGGGGACGAGACCGAACCAAGCTCAGGCCAGCTGGGCCCGGGGGCTGCATTCCACCCAGAGTCAGCGGGGCGGCCTTGGACCCACCCTGGCTACACCCCAAGGGCAGCAACTGACGCTACCCTGCCCCAAGCCGCTGCCAGTCACAAGTCCACCCCCCACCCCCACCTTCGTGCCCCGATGCGCAGACCTGCAGGGAGAGGCCGGCCGTGCAGCACAGCACGTGGGGAAAGGGGGTCCCTTTAGGGCTGAAGATATTACATAGAATCATAGAAGATGAGGGTTGGAAGAGACCATCTAGTCCAGCCCCCTGCTCAAAGCAGGACCGACCCCAACGAAATCATCCCAGCCAGGGCTTTGTCAAGCCGGGCCTTAAAAACATCTAAGGAAGGAGATTCCACCACCTTCCTAGGTAACCCATTCCAGTGCTTCACCACCCTCCTAGTGAAATAGTGTTTCCTCCACACTAATATCCAACCTAGACCTCCCCCACTGCAACTTGAGACCATTACTCCTTGTTCTGTCATCTGCCACCACTGAGAACAGCCGAGCTCCATCCTCTCTGGAACACCCTTCAGGTAGTTGAAAGCTGCTATCAAATCCCCCCTCACTCTTCTCTTCTGCAGACTAAATAACCCCAGTTCCCTCAGCCTCTCCTCATAAGTCATGTGCCCCAGTCCCCTAATCATTTTCGTTGCCCTTCGCCGGACTCTCTCCAATTGGCCACACGCCTTCTGTAGTGGGGGGACCAAAACTGGACGCAATACTCCAGGTGTGGCCTCACCAGTGCTGAATAGAGGGGAATAATCACGTCCCTCGCTCTGCTGGCAATGCTCCTACTAATACAGCCCGATATGCCGTTGGCCTTCTTGGCACCAAGGGCACACTGCTGACTCGTATCCAGCTTCTCGTCCACTGTAACCCCCAGGTCCTTTTCTGCAGAACTGCTGCTTAGCCAGTCGGTCCCCAGCCTGTAGCGGTGCCTGGGATTCTTCTGTCCTAAGTGCAGGACTCTGCACTTGTCCTTGTTGAACCTCATCAGATTACAAGTCAACCCCCCACTCCCATGTCACTAGCTGTGTGGTCAGAGGCGGCTCTATGTATTTTGCCGCCCCAAGCATGGCAGTCAGGCAGCCTTTGGTGGCACGCCTGCGGGAGGTCCGACGATCCCGTGCCTTCGGCGTACCCGCCACTGAATTGCCGCCAATGCCGCGGAACCGGCGGCCCTCCCGCAGGCATGCCACTGAAAGCAGCCCGACTGCTGCCCTCCCGGCGACCAGCAGGCCACCCCCTGCGGCTCGCCGCCCCAGTGCCTGGAGCCGCCCCTGAGTGTGGTGCCTGGGAATGGGCAACAGGGGATGGATCACTTCATAGGCGTGCGCAGCCCATTTCATTAGGGTGTGCACCCACGGAGCACCACCCTGCCCTAGCCCCACCCCCATCCTGCCCCCATCCACTCCCTCCTACTTCCCACCCCGACTGCCCCCCTCAGAACCCCCACCCCCCCTGCTCCTTGTCCCCTGACTACCACCTCCTGGGACCCCTGCCCTTAACTGCCCCCCCAGAACCCCTCCCCCTATCTAAGCCTCCCTGCTCCTTGTCCCCTGACTGCCCCCCTAGAACTCTACCCCCTACCTGTCCCCTGACTGCCCCGACCCTTATCCACACCCCCGCCCCCAGACAGACCCCCAGGACTGCCACGCCTATCCAACTGCTCCCCACCCCCTGACAGGCCACCCCCAGAACTCCTGACCCATCCAACCCCCTCTGCTCCCTGCCTCCCCTAACCTCTCTCCAACCCCTG